TTAAAAGTTTCCCACACGAATAAAATAGACGAGTGGTACTGGATAAAGACAACTTGGTTTCTTGCTTCAAACAAGGTATCCATTCGTAGAAGTCTTATGAAGATAAGCCTATCCAAGTGAACATAAAAGGGTCAACATTCATGCTCAATGGTAGACATATATAGATGCCGCAAATCTCGAATTGGGCTTAATCTCGAAAATAAGTCCATTTCGAAAAGAAGCCACCCTCTTCAGTTCGCAAAAGTAATCTCGAAAAAAGAAGCCCATCTTGAAAAAAAGCCAATCAGTATCAATAGTATTTTATTGTACAGGATGGTATCTGTCTCTTATACACATCTAGATGTGTATAAGAGACAGGTATATAGAGTTAACATATAAATTATTAAGGAAAGGATCTGTTTAAATTAAGTATTATAATCAATTAAATATGCGGCCATAAAATAACAAGTGAAAATCAATAATAGACGGATGAGCAACTTACCTGACTGTCAGTCACTAGGCCTATGTTGTGCATATCAAAATCTTCAAAGCTGGTTTGAATGTTGATGCCATGGTACTTATAGTAAGGGGCCAGTTGCTGCAAGATGATGTCAGTCTTGTGTTTCGAAGCTGGACTCAGGGGACGCACCGATCGTACTGTGCCAAGGCTGTAATAAAAAATTGAAATTTCTCAAGGCAGCACTTTCAAATAATAGTTTATAAAAAACAAAGGTAGAGCACCATCATCCTTAATATTTCAGCCTTTTTAATAATGACACATGCCTCATATAATTATAGAAAGCCATTTTATGTGATTAACAGGCCACTAGGACATTACATTTGCTGTTGAAAGCATCATTTGGGATAAAAAAACAAAAAAACAAAAAAAAACAAAAAAAAATCAAATGCTATATAGAAAATGTATTTTATACTTCTAGGAGGAACACTTACTATTCGTCTGGCACAACAGTTTGATTTTTCGGATTGATATCCATGGCATTAGGGTTGAAAACTTGGAGAGAAAAAAATTAGATAATACTGTATACAATGGGTTCAATTCTATAATTGCCAAGTTAAAAGTATAATTGTACTTGTTTTCAATTTGAGAAATATATAAAGATTAAATTGTATAAATATATATATAAGTATCATAACATGGAGTATGGTTGGGAATAATTATATTTCAAGTAAAATCAAGAGTTTGATATTCATCCAATACAAAAACTATAATTAATTTACTATATATTTACTATAATGTGTTTATCAGTATAACTTAAAGCATATAGTAAAAAAAAAAATAGTAAACACATACCTTGGTCAATGGCATTTGCAAATGTTCTGTAGTTGATCATTCCATCATTGTTGTCATCATATTTGCTAAGTAAGCAATTCTCATCTTGGGGAGACAATATGATTCCAAAACTTTGATCTAAGCATCTCAGGAATCTTGAGCCTGCATTGGTAGATTCAGGCAAAAAACATTTCATTAAATTATTCCTCAATCAAATTCAAAGTAAAAAGTGAATATAAGAGTAACCAATTAATCAAGTAAGCAAAATATTGTTAGACAGTATTACAAATATGTTTATCTGGATCTATAATTATATTTCATTTTAAATAAGAATAGCACCATTATTACTATTACTATCATCATTACATCATCATCACATCACCGTAAATGTTCATTATAATCAGCATCATCGCCATCACCATCAACCTCACCATTATCATCAACAAGATTTTCACCATCATTTTCCTCATCATCACCAAATGTAACAATATTTAATCACTGTGGTCTAGCAATACAGCAATTCACTTTACATGCCTAGAAATCATACACTTGCTGCCTTGAGTGATGAAGTACTCTACATATTTCATACACTTACGTGTAACGTAGCCAGTTCGTAATCTATCATAGTCTTTGAAAAACTCGGAAACTCTGACTCTCTTTGATAGTACAGCAGTCCGTATATGATCTTCAATTTCAGTTAATAAACTTGGTTGTTCTCTCATAGGCATGGTGCCTAGGCCAATGTATTTTATATCTATAATAATAAAAATGATTTTTTTTGACATCAGCAACAATTTGTATAAAAATAATGTAGGCCTAGGCTAAGCCTAGTCTGTAGCACGCACCTAGGCCTAGCTAGGTCTTGCCTACTAATACTAACGCTAGCCTAGGGCCTAGGCCTCTCTAAGTAATTAGCCTATCTATGAGGCTAGGCATAGGCCTAGGATAAAAAAATATACTATAGGCTAGGCCTAGCCTAGCTAAGCCTCTCTTCTAGGCTAGAGTAGAGTAGGCCGGGGGCTTAAAATAGTAGTGAATACCGTATTTAGGCCTAGTTAGTAGTAAGGCCCTAGGCTCTAGGCCAAGCCAGGCTTAGCGATTCAGCAGGCTAGCCTATCTATCTATATTCCGACTATACAAGTACTACGCTTGCTAGGCCTACTAGGCCCAAGGCCTAGGCTAGCCTAGGCCCTAGTCTATTCTATATATACTGCTGGCCTAGGCCTAGGCCTAGCTAGGACCAGAGAGGTTGGTAGGCTATAGGCCTAGTAGTCCTAGCTAGAGTGTGGATAAATGAAAACGAAAAGAAGGTACAGTAAACTTATATTGTTCTAATTTATAATCCCAGAATACTCACATCAGGCTTCTAAATATTACTTTAATGCTGGCTTGCTCTACACGACGTTACCTACTTCTAGGCTCTAGGTCTAGCACCCAAACACAACTTTCCACACGCTAATGTTATTGTGATTATGCGGCCTAGCAACAGTAATCCATCAGAATGGTGGCGCTGTTCATGCGGAACTCTTCTTCTCAGCTACCTCCATCTCTATGGCTACCTCTCAGCTCGTTTTATTCTAGACATTTATTTAAAGACACCGTGTGGTGTTCTTTAGAGAACCAAGTGTGTTTGAAAATCGACTGTGTTTGAAAGTTCCTTTTTGGTGTTAATTTAAAACATAAATACATGATACAATTTTAGGCAAGATATACCGGTAACAGTCTGTTTTGAAAAAAATGGTCCTGTTTAAGGCAATTTCTGTTAACAGTCAGAAATAAAAACATTTCCGGGACAACTCATTTCCAGAAGCGTTGGTGGGATTTTTTTTTTTTTTTTTTTTTTTTTTTTTACAACCGAATTTGTGTTTACGCCTAAAAGTGAAAATATAAATAATACTACAATTCGTTGTCAAAAAAAAAGCTCAAATGCCGACCCTTAGGCCTAATTTTGTCAACATTATTATGTTAAAAGTTTCCCACACGAATAAAATAGATGAGCGGTACTGGATAAAGACAACTTGGTTTCTTGCTTCAAACAAGGTATCCATTCGTAGAAGTCTTATGAAGATAAGCCTATCCAAGTGAACATAAAAGGGTCAACATTCATGCTCAATGGTAGACATATATAGATGCCGCAAATCTCGAATTGGGCTTAATCTCGAAAATAAGTCCATTTCGAAAAGAAGCCACCCTCTTCAGTTCGCAAAAGTAATCTCGAAAAAAGAAGCCCATCTTGAAAAAAAGCCAATCAGTATCAATAGTATTTTATTGTACAGGATGGTATTTTTAAAAAATGTTTCGAATTCTATAGTCGGAAAACGTGGTGTAGTTGCAGTTTTAAAATTTACAACATTCATTTTGAAAGAAGGCCCATCCTTATATATGTATATATTATATATATGTATATGTATATATATATATGTATGTATATATATATATATATATATATATGTATATATATATATATATATGTGTGTGTGTGTGTATGTGTGTGTGTCGGGGGGTGTATGTGTGTGTGTCGGGGGTGGTGTGTGTGTGTTGATTTGCCTATTGACAAAACGTAGCGAGATCTTTTGGGTGTAACTATTTTTAGTTCTCAGTACACAACGAGATATTCTGTACTGAGAACTTATTTTAGTTCATATAACAGAATATTGTGTTATCGGTTAACTTTGACGCAAACGTGTTATATTTTATACACAAGGTTTGGTGTTTAAAAAAAGGGAGTAGGCTGTGGAAATCAGGAATTTTTGTTATGTAGTTGAAAAACACAATGTTATATTGTTTTATTTTCCCCAGAATGTATGTGTATACATGTGCTGCGTTGTTTGCTGCAGTTGCGATGCTGGTAGCAGGTAAACCTACTGATAGGAACTTCTTGACAGATGATGTGGACCTCTTTATAGCGAATGGTGGAGAAGGATCAGGAAATGATCTGGTGTTGCCTGTAGGGTCCCTTTACAAATCCGCATTCACGGCTAAGCTGACGACAGGACTCGATTCATTGTGGTTTGAAAATCGCCGTATCGTCTTCGATTCAGTCTTGACCAGCGTCGGCAATGACTACAATCCTAAAGACGGCAGATTTACTACCAGTATCTCAGGAACCTACGTTTTCTCTCTGAGTCTAATGAGCAAGTACTCATCTGGTAGTTCTGCGTTTGGTTGTTTGCAAAAGAATGATGTAGAGCAGATCTGCGTCTGGTCCAACGGAAACAGTGCCCACGAGATGTCGAGCAATACCATCACACTCAATCTGAAAAAGGGTGATGTCGTTAACGTTATCCTAAAGGGTGGCAGTTATGGACTTCACAACTACGGTGAAGCTGGATACTGTTCCTTTTCCGGCTTCTTGCTTTATCCCGAGGAAAGTCCTTTGGACAAAATATTAGCAGCTATTAACATATCTTAATATAATAATAATAATAATAATAATATATGGTCAATGGTCAATGGTCATATATTTATATAGCACCTTCCACAGAAAACCGTTTCAAGTAATATATTTTACTTTTACACGGATACACTTGATTCACCCAATGGTGTTTTTCGTCCAGGCCGTGCAAAGCCATGTAAAGTAACAAAATATAAGGAAAATATAAAATTAAAAGAACAAAATGAAAACATCATTTAAACAAAAGTTTACCAAGTTCTTAAGTTAGTAGAATCACATGAACATTTTAATTTTGTGATAATCGTCTTTGTTTCGTATATCGTTCACCATGTATTGTTAATTGAGGAAGTAGGCCTACTATTTAAATGTTACTGTGTGTATTATAAACGTGGCCACTTAGTGGTACTGTATACTAATTAAATGTTTTGATGAAGGGCGATGCCCAAAAACGTTTGTGTTGTTTACCAATAAATACAGCAAATACACTTTTGCTTCATGCCTTTGTTATACCACCGTGTGGTGTCTTTAGAGTTACAATTGTAGACGAGAACAGAGTGTGCTTGAAAAGCGACTTGATATATATTATTTGAAAGTTGTTTTTGGCGTTCATATTTTTATTTATTTTATTTAAACATATTTATACAGGATACACTTTCAGGCAAGGTATAACAGTCTGTTTTGAAAACATGGCTCTGTTTAAGACAATTTCTGTTTTCAGTCAGAAAGAAACTTTTCCTGGACAACTCCTTCCAGAAGCGTATTTAAGGAAGCCCCCTAAATATTTTTTTTTAAATTAAAAAATAGAAAAAAGTGCCATGAAAATTAAGGCCTGAGAGTGTTCAGGCCATATAGAATTTTCTTCTTTAAAGCTAATTTATTAAAGGCATCATATACCAGTGTTAATGTAGAGCTACATCATCAAGCGAGCCTCTAGTCGAACATCATCAATCATCAACAACAATAATGATCGAAAAACGTCGTATGGCATGATTTAACAATACATTACAATTTCACATATAAATTCTTGTTAATTAAAGTTCATGTCGGCTCAAAGCCCGTTGAAATTTAAAAGGCGGCCTTGGCTCTTACATAGCGTTGGTTAATTTGCATTAAAGTTCAGTGTAGGAGATGTGCTGATCAAAATGTCACCCCACCCCATCTATGTTTTGAAAACTTGTTCATTACATCGTTCGTTTGGAGTTTATATCAACAATTTCCAGGCATCTTGAATTAAGAAATTATCTAATAAAAGTACTATATGAAATCTATTTTTCCATTTATCCTTCATTAATTTTCATTCGCAATATAATTTTTAGTTTCTCAATACCCGTAACTCCTTTCTTTTACAGTACTAAGCAATAATTTTATTTTATTTTTTATTTGTCTTTTCTTCTCGTCTGTGATGTTTTGTCCCCTCTTTGCTTTGTAATCTGTTTGGGCTATATCCCATTCCTTGCCTTTCCTATGAAGCTTGCTAAATGTTTTCCTTTTTTATTAATTGTTTTAATGTTTTACATGTTTATTGAATAAAAGTGATTAAAGAAAAGATCTTTCCATACGTACCTGTTCTGTACCCACATCCGAAATTACAATGGCGGCTCTAAGTTTATAGACCAGGTCAGGTGTTCGGCTTTTTCCACTGTCATCAATTTGGAGCGGAGTTGAATAACTTAGTGATTGCCTTCATGGCCGGGCAGGTTCAATCCTGTGACAAGATTTCACGGAACTCCACGCACAAGCTAGGAGACTTCGTTGGTTTATAAAGATCGCCTATCCTGAAATTTGCGAGTTACTTGGTGCCGGGATGCGAATGGAAAAAACAAAAATGATAAATAAAAATCCTTAATTCCTCCTCTCCTCAGTTTTACCATCAACGTCTAGCATCAAATGTTTCTGAACAATCCCTTATAGTCCTGAGGGAGCCAGTAAACTGGGTGCTTTGAATTAAGGTATCTGAATATGTATTGTCTCCTTATAACAGGGAAAGAAAATCATAAAAAATCCGCTACGTATGAATCATTATAATTATATAAAATACTGTATCCTATTTCAAATATAGACCTACTTTGACGTAGGCTACTGCTCTCTCATTTTGAGAACATTTTTACAGTATTAACTTGAACTTAGGAATTAGTGCACTAATGTGTTTAACCGTAAATGTAAAAAATTGATATAAACACTGGAAGTATTTGATTTTTATTATTAAAAGATATAAAAATCAGGCTATTTATATTTGTTTACTGTACATTCAAATAAAAATCCTCCTCTTTCCTCTTTCTCTGCTCTTTCTTGTTTAACGCCCTCTATAATTTATGATACCGGCGCGCGTTTTTTTCCGTACGAAACATTTACATGAAACTCCACTCGGGCCGTCTCGACTGAATCGACCCGAAAATCTCATATTGCAGAATCCAGGTCAAAAGGTCATCAACAACTTCTGATCTGATCTGAGAGAACGTCGCTGTCTAATTTTTAAAAAATACATTGATGTTACCATGCTAATACTAAATGGGTCGTTTAAAATACATAATATTTTATTGAGCTGCACGAGTAAAAAAGTGTTATTTTAACTTGAGTTACATACTGTGGCAATTTTTATTTTTTAGTTAGGTCTGGGTTTTGCATAATTACCTAGGCCTAACTACAAAAAAATATACGCCTTCTCTGGGGAAAGCACAGAGAGTAAGGAAAAGCGCGTTTCTCGGGGCGTTTGATCAAATGAAACATGGTGACAGTTATTTTCAAATTAAGAGAAGAGCTGAGAAGAGGCAGCTCTAAAATACTGGATGCCATAAGACCTGCCAATGGCAGAGCACCAATGAATGTAAATGAGGCCTAAGCCTAGTTATTAATATCAGGCATAGTAATCTGCAGATTCTTGATTACAAGACTAGACCAGATTATGTCACTTAATGCCAAAATGATTATATTATTATTATTATTATATTATTATTGTTATTATTATTATTATTATTATTATTGTTATGTTACTAAAACCAACCTGTAGACCTACCTTAAGGGGAACTTAGACAATGGAGGAATTAGAACAATTAAAAAATCGACGTTAAGGGGAAATAACACAAAAGATATCCCCCCCCCCCATGGGCTAGTTATTAATTATAGGCCTAGTAATATAGTATGGTTCTTCATTACACGGCTTAGGTGACAAGGTAATTAATGCTGAAATTATTTTAAATTATTATTATTATTATTATTATTATTATTATTATTATTATTATTATTATTATTATTATTATTATTATTATTAATTATTATTATGTTACTAAAACCAACCTGTAGGCCTATCTTAAGGGGAACTTAGACAATGGAGGAATTAGAGAACAATTAAAAAATCGACGTTAAGGGAAATAACACAAAAGATATTCCCCCTGGGCTAGTTATTATTTATAGGCCTAGTAAATAGTATGGTTGTTCGTTTCAAGGCTTAGGTCAAGGTAATTAATGCTGAATTATTATTATTATTTAACATTAATTACATTCAAGGATAGTTTGGCCAAGTTAACGCCGCCGAATAGTATATTTTAATTATTTATTATTTCTCTTATGCACTCTATTTTTTATTTATGCTTTAATTTTTTTTCCATTTTTTTAAAAAACTTCAATCAACGTCTGTATGAAAAGCGTGACCGTTGGGGTGCTAGGACCCTAGGCATAGGTAGGACTTAAGTTAGCCTGTAGTTAGGCCCAAAGTTTATCCTCTTTCTCTCTAGCCTTTGGTATTACTGTACCTATCAACACTTTATAAAAAGGGGCTGTTGTTTTTGTAGATATTATACTAACATTTAATAAACATCCAAGAAGGTCACAGTTATTTACACACGTACATCCCATAAATCCGTAAGATATCATAGGCCAAAGAGCAATAACAGAAAAACTCGAGCGTCACGACATTGCGAAGTGTCTGCTCTTGTTCCTCGTATTGAACGTAGTCGAGTCAATCCGAGATGGCCCGAGTGAAGTTTCATGCAAATTTTTCGTACGAAAAAAAAAATCGCTACCGGCGCGGCGTTGAGCTAAGCTAGCTATGAGAGATACGAAGAGGGCAGGCAAGCTACGTGTCTTTTTGGAGATCACATGATCAACAGCCATTATTTGGCTGTGGAAGCGAGCGACAAGTGTCTGGCTAAGCCTAGCCCATCCTAGCCTAGGAAATCTATGTTTTACAGTAGATAATGGTTTAATGGCCGCTATATATGCCATATTGAACATAGTACTGATATCAGATATATACGCTTCTTAACGGCAACTCGTTTACTTAGTAGTGGTGGTTGTTTTTATAGTTAAAATGGCATTGAAGAAGGTGAAGGGTAGTCTCGAGAGGGTGTTTGACAAGAACCTCCAGGACTTGGTTCGAGGCATTCGAAATAATAAAGAAAATGAGGTAGGCCTAGGCTATGTAAATACTATAATGTATTTTTAAAACTCTGCTGATTCACTGCTATAAATGTCGTGGCTACATTAATACAACATTGCATTACTCAATTTTCAGTTAAAAAGGAAGTTGATATATATATAGGCCTAAATTACTGTGTAAGTGATTGTAAACAAATCAGTAAATGATATAGATAGGCCTATTATGTGAACTAAATAGCGCATGTGCAGTCATACTTTTAATAAACTTGCATTATTGGTCACGTAAATTTATTGATTTTGTTTAAGTGTATGCTAATATCAGTTGAACTTTCAGCACTCGAAATTAGTGTCGGCCCAAGCCGTGGTGCCCAAGCTCACCATGGCACTGATTTAATTATAATTTTGTTTTTATTTTATTGTAATTTAATTTCCTACAATAGTATGTAGTTTAATCATTGAATGTAGTAGCTAGCGGATACTCCAAGTGCTATGAAGATATGAATTTGCATCTGGAAAATTTCATAGGAGTGATGTTTTGCCCTACCTGACCTGCTATCGTACTGAATACTCAGTACGCCCCGAAATACTAGCGAAAAAAATTCACAAGTGATTTGCGTGGGAATCGAATCCACGACATCCAGGTATCTAGCCTGATGTTTTAACCACTAAACCAACAAGCTTGCGCTTGGTGTCTGGTGATGAATTCAATCCCCTAGTAGCAGCGGGTTCTGCAAGTGCCAAAAAACAGTATTTTTGGACGTACCGAGTATTCGGTACGATAATACGTCAGGTAGGGCAAACCATCACTCCTATGATATTTTCCTGATGCAAATTGTGCCGTGGTGAGCTTGGGCCAAAGTTGAACTCACATTAACGTACATTCAACCAGAATCAATAAATTTACGTGACTGATAATGCAAGTTTGACTGCGTCTGCGTTATTTATTTCATTTAAATATATTGTTTACTGATTTAAAAACTGGGGACATTATCTCCCCTCCCTTTCCCACCCCTACCAGCCATAATACTAATATTTTCAGAATTCAAAGATTTTAAATTTTATACTGGGGAAAAGTTGCACTGCGGGGAAGCTATTCTTTTACTGTGTAGTGTAAAAGGAGTAATTCTAGTTTTAACCAGGAATTCCAGCCTAGGCCTAGGATCCTAGTTGGATCACAGAACGAAAGTATAAAGTAAAAAATGGCTGCAATGTTTGTTAGGGCTTGTTGGGTACTGTAGGCTAGACCTCCTGTCTGTAGTGTGTAGGCTAGTTAGCCTAGGCCTTGTGGCTTACCATACTGCACTTCGGTAGACTGCAGGCATCATTCATGAGCTTAACTATTTAGGGCCAAGTTAAGTTGGGCCTGGCTCATCTAGGCTACTAACCGACCGTAAACAATCGAGATGAAGCTCTGGGCATCTGTTGTTTTTTTTTTTGCGAACTTTGGATGGGCTTTTTTTTAGGCTACTTTTACAAAGTACTGTAAGTAAGGTGGCTTCTTTTGAAAATGAATGCTACAACTTTTGTGAATTTGTACTATGAAACAATAAATTAGGCCACTGTAACATCAATTTGTATCATAGGGTTTATTTAACTGGCATTAAATCACCAAAACTGCTATATAAACCAAGCTTGTTTTTAATTTATTTTGTTTTTTAACAGTGCATACTGTGCTATCTCGAAAAGAAGCCTATAATATCTTGAAAATAAGCCCATGGGCTTCTTTTAGAGATGGGCTATTTTAGGCTAATTTTGAAAACTACTGTAAAAAGGGGAGCTTCAGTTCAAGATGGGCTTCATCTCAAGGTTTTAAGGTACAGAACGTCCATTGTGCCAACGTCGGTTTTAAAAATAGTCGATTTTACAAATGGTCTTTGCCCCTGATGACATAATCATTGACCAATTATTACCGTAAAATAAGTCTGATTGCGCTCGTTTTACAAAGTGATATGTATAATTATTTTCCTTTTCTAAAATCAGGTTTGTTTTATTTATTTATCAATACTTTGATCTTTTCTTCCATTTCTATTATAATAATCACAATGAGTATATCTTGTTGTACTACTTATAGACTTACTGTTTGTTCTGTGAGGCTTCGAGTAGAGTTGGTTTTTAGGCTTTTAAAAAATAATCCTAGTTTACTGTAGCTTTGACAAAGGAAGTTGATTTATGGTACCAGGTTCTAATGTCCATTAAGGCTCAGAACTTACCTTACCATCAGTAATGATATCACAATTATCATCTGGATGAGATCCCATAAACCAAGGTATTGTGATAGATGAGAGTTTCAACAAAAAATAAAATTCAATGTGGAATGCTGTTTCCTTTAATTAATCCCTACGTACAGATCTGTCAGATTCAACTGACAATATCTGCTTAGAATTGATAAAGTAGACAATGCAATGATAGTTTTTTTTTTTTTAATCAGATTTGTCTGAAGTAAACATATTAATATGAAACCATGTGGGGCAATAGTCAGGGCTTTGGACATTGTCATGGAGTCGTAAAGGTTGTGAGTTTGAGACCGATGGTGGCCACACTATTTTATCCTTGTGCAAGACAATTTATCTACGTTTATATTCATATCGTGGATAAATGAGAGAGCAGCTTAGCTTAGTCGGCTAATCTGATGGTAGCCACTGTGTGTGCGCTAAACCGTGAAGATCTCTAGGTTCCCGGTTCAATTCCCATCGCTGCCTCTCCTTGTGTTACCAAGTTACAAAAGCACACCGTCTTTCGAAAGAGACGTTTAAGCCGTTGGTCCTGTGTGCATTATGGCCCATGTGCACGTTAAAGAACGCAGTACGCTCTTCGGAAAAGAGTAAGGGATTGTCTCCCTGAGTACTGCCTAATCACCACCAGAAGGACCCCACTGGAAATAAGTCTTCTTCTAGACTTTCGTGGGCTATCCTTGGTGTTTACACCGAATCAATCCAATCTAATCCAAATGGGGTACCAGCTTACAGTAGCTAAGTAGGTGAATGGTTAAGAATGTTCTGAAGTACATGCATACAGTAACTACAGTAGGAATACTCCACAGGGAGTGGAGCAGGATGTACAGTACATTGTGCGCAATTGATTTTATTTCCAATGATGAAAAAAGTGCCTAGAGCAGTTTTTCTATACAGTATGTGTGTTCATATAAATCCTATTAAAAAAAAAAATTAATCTGATCATATTTTGATGAAATAGACATGCCAACCACTCTGATTTCGGCGGAGTTACTCCGTTTATTTAAGCAAAACTCTGCACTCCGATTTTGGGCCGGTGTACTGGTCCATACTTCCCCTGTTGTGGATAGATGAGGGTAGCTGGTACCCGTGTACTGGGTAGCTCAGACACGAAGAGACCGTTAGGGGAGAAAAAGCCATTGAAACGAGTTGCAGTCTGAGTTAGTCCATAGCGTTTTGTATCCTCTGGAAAAGTCGCTTTATCAAATGCCATTACAATTACCATCAAATATGTCTGAAACCAAGTATAGAATCAAACAAGTTCAGATTTTGATTTTGTAGTGCAGCTATTTCGAAAAATCAGAGAGGGAAAAATTACATTTCTTTTTCTGGTTACAGTATACTTAATAAAGGTTCTGATTTATGCAGCCTTAGAGAAAAACTTAATTTGAACAGTCATGGAAGTGGAAAAACACATAACATTTGATTAGGTATTTATAACAAGCATGCTATTGCATCTGACACTGTCCTAATAGGTCTTTGATGAGCATACAGATCAAAAAATGTAGTAATGTATGTTGAACGTGAAGATGAAAATGTTATTCATTTGTTGTTTAGTACAGGTTTTAGTTTGGTATTGATCATCATCTAATTAGGAAAATATTAGCATGTATTGAATCGGTTTGTCTGACGTCATTTAATCACTAGCCAGATTCTCAGTTCACAGCAATCCGTTCTTAAGGAATGTGTTTTATTGATTATTCAAGTACTTGGTAATCACAGATAGTGTTTAGTCGGTAACTAAAGATTCTACTAAATCCTAAAACCAGTTGTTTGAGAGTTACAACTTACTGTAGGAAATTGAATCTTGTATGTACTGTATTATATCTGTTAACAAGCAATTTTTTTTTCATTTCTTCATTATGTATCATTTTTATAGATTTATTTACTCATAAAAAACATGTTTATTGCTGAATTTATGGTGGCACTGACATACAGTATTGTATGATTTTGAATTATCATATCTACTGTACAATATGTTATAGTAGGTGAAATAAAGTAGCTAGAAAGAAATTCATTTAAAATTAAATTCATAATTAAGTCTGATACTTTATTGTAAACGATCATCAAGAGTGAATACACTCTATAAATTTGGCATGCAATACAGTGCACATTTCAGCTACTAAATTGTTTGACCAATACTAACCAATCTGTAATCTATGAACATAATAACCAAATCACAGTAATGTAATTACGGATAAATGTTATTTCAGACACAAACATTGCAAAGACACTTGGTTTTTTTTTTTATTGTTCAGATAAAGTACATAAACTTAATAAATAAAAAGTTAAATATGGGTGTAAAAAAATTTGTTAAAAAAATTATTTTCCTATGATTAGAATCATTAATATGAAAATTATTTTTATTATTACTATATATTAATATGATTGATTACTATTAATGTTGTCTTGTTAGTGTTATTTATTTGTATTAGTGCACTTATTAATATGCTTTTAATAATCTTGGTAATATTTTGTAATGGGTTTATTTTTCAGGCTAAATTTATATCCAGTTGTATTGATGAGATAAAGCTTGAGCTGAGGCAAGACAGTATAGCAATCAAGGCAAATGCTGTTGCCAAGCTAACTTATGTAAGTATCAATAATGTATGAATATGATTATATATGGTAATATATATATATATATTCATGATAACATATTGAATATTTATGAATATGACAACTTACAGTATGAATAAATATATGTACAATAATAGTCTAGAACAGGGGTGGGCATATAAATCTGTCGGAGGGCCAAAGTGAACTTTTGATTTAACAGCAAGGGCCGCACCCAAACTTAGGTGTTCCAGTGAGCTTCCAAAAACCTCCAATCACTACTTTCACATCACCTTTATTCTCAGTTTTAATGTTACTTTTTTCAAAATTTTGATTGGCGGGCCGCAAACATAGTGTTTTTAATTCATTGTCGCGGGCCGCAAAAAAAAATCGCTGACAGGTCGCATATGGCCCGCGGGCTGCACTTTGCCCACCTGTGGTCTAGAACCATGAAGATGATTAGATGGCGGTAAATGAGGTGACATTTATGATTGTGTGTGCTTTAATATGTTCCTCTTGATTATGTTTCTCTTAATTATTTTTGCCAGTACAATGATCATAGGATATTTATTTGTTGTTTCCCAGTATTTTGTTCTTGTGTTTGTACTGTATATTATTCCAGTGTAACATATAGTAATTTAATTTTGTTAATTAGTAAAAAATTCTGGAAAAATGTAATTATTGTTCTCTAATAACTTTAAAAATATACAGTTAAATGAATTGAAGATTTACAGGAACATGTCTCTTTCCTAATGTTAGAGGCAGATTCCACCATATTTAAATGGATGACAAACAAAATAAAAGAAGTCTGTGTATAATATTAGATTGTCTTTTATTTTACAATATTTTTTTAGCTCCAACTTCTTGGCTATGATGTCTCGTGGGCAGCCTTCAATGTGATTGAGGTGATGAGCTCCCCCAAGTTCACATTCAAGCGTATCGGCTACCTAGCAGCCTCGCAGAGTTTTCACGAAGGCACTGATGTCCTCATGCTTACAACTAACATGATCCGCAAGGTAAGCAAAAACAGTTGAATTATGATAGTAATAAAAATGGATAATGAAAAGAAAATATCATTGTTATAAATACAGCCATTGTAGGCATGATTACTTAGGTCCATAATGGTATACAAATTTAATAAAATTTTCATTTTAAACATTAAGAGAAGTCATAATAATTTTAATATGAGAATCTGCGCTGGAGCTTCAATCATTTAAAGAAATTAATATTGAGAAAAGAAGTAATTTTGTTAATTTTTATAAAAGTGAGTAATTTGGTTGGGACCAAGCTCGTGCTTAAGCAAGACTTTTTTTATACCTTGTTTTACTTTTTTTTTTAAAGATCGTCAGAGGAGGGCTGAAAAAAAATACAAATAAAAATCTGGTTTTTATTTAGCAAAGAATTTTACCAAAAAGAACGAGACAGAGGAAAAAATATAAATAAAATTTTATTGGTGAATATAAACAGTGTAGTAATAGGAATGATTTAATGCTTTAAATTTAAATTATTAGGAAGAAATATACATTTTATATTTGGAAATTTAAAGGCATCGGCGGCGTAATAAAAATAAAACAAAACTTTTATTTTTTTCTGAAATTTCTATTTTTTGGTGGGGGGGTGGTTAGTATGTTAATTGGTGAAAAATAAAATTTTATTTTTATTCAAGATCATCAGTATTGGTGGGCTGTGGGTTCGCTAAAGGCCAACTCAGACAGCGTCGGCCGACGCAGCCCGACGCGATTTGTTGTCGCGTCGGCTCTGTGTGAGTTGAACGCAGACGCGATGGTGTGCGTCGGGGGCAGTCGCGTAGTAGAATATTAAACGTGTTTAATATTTCTCACGACGGCTTAAGACTGTCCCCGATGATAAATCGCGTCGGGCTGCGTCGGCCAACGCTGTCTGTGTTGGCCTTAAAACGCCTTATATAAAGTTTCTAGTGTTGAATCCGATCTGCAAGTAGGAGCGGGTACTGCCCAACATTATACTTGTAATAGATTCAGTCAAGTATAAATTCTTGCTTGAATAAATAAGCATAACAAGCTCATTCCAAGTTTATATCTTAAGAAGCTGAATATATAAATGCCATGTTTTATAATGCTTTTGATAAACTGTTATATGTATGAGAATGATTATAGTTATTAAAGTTGATCAATATGGCTGAATTTTCATGTGATACCCATGGGACAAACCGTAGGGTGGGTATGCGGGACATGACAAGCAACTGTTGTACGCAGTTGCACAAATGAGTGAGCTATCTTCCAGGAATTAAGCAGCCAACAAATGTACGATACTGCCGTGGCCCTCAATGGCCTTTCTTGCTTCCTGACATCTGACCTTGCTCGTGACCTAGCCAATGACATCATGGGTTTGGTAAGTCAAGTGCCCATGATGAGGGCAGCATGCTAAAGATGTCCCTTTTGGAATATATTGTTGTCCATTCCTCTGGTAAATGCATGTCAGAAAACTAGTAAACATGTGACAGACTCCGAAAACAAGAACAAATTTTGGTAAACTATCAATTTTGATGATTGAATTAAATATTTTATGGAAAATGGCATCTTCATCCAACATGTAAAATAAAAATGGATTATATATTTTATGAACAGTAAATGAATAATGGCAGTGATGTCTGTGTTGTGTTTTCTAGTTGTGACGTGCATATGTCCTGGTGTGTAATAGTCATCCATGTCTTTTGTATGTTTTTGCATGCTTAGTAATACATAGTCTCTACTGTACTTCAGGATGTTAACAGTTTTCAGCAGTATGATGCAGGGGTGGCAATGAGCGGTCTTGCATGTTTTATCTCCCCTGACCTGGCCCGTGATTTGGCCAATGATCTAATGACACTGGTGAGTAGGTGCGCCCTCTTGGGATGGATTATTAATTTGGTCATGGTATGCTAGGGGTGGGAGCGGGGGGTTAAGAAATTAACCCAATTCCTTGGTGAGGACATATAGTAGGTCTTTATATCAGGTGCTGAATCTTGTTTGTTGTAGCTTTTGTTGACATTTTAGGTTCCAGTATAAATTTATAATCAAGTTCATTCATCATTACCTATAATATTAATATTCAAAATTTTATAACTATTCCATGGTTTTGTTTTTCATCTGATTTTCATTGGTTTTAGCTACATACTACATTACATATTAAGATTTTTATAGAACATCATATATTGCTCCTATTTTAAAATGTCATATTTGCATGAGTGAGAAAATAATTTTAATATAAATGAGGAAATATAATGCATGCCCATGCCATGAACTTCACAAGCTATGAATGCAACAGCTCTTCCATTCATCGCTATTACTCCCTACATTTGCATTCATACCATGCACTTGAATCTGCATTGTCATCATATGAGGTGTTGCTTAAAAATTTCATTTTCTAAGACAACTTACACGAGAAATAATTATAAGCTGATTATATTGAAACTAAAACCATAGCATACTGTATATGAGCCTAAATGCAGTGTCTTATACACATGACTCGATATGAAAAAATAGGTAGACGATTTTGATCTCATGGTTCAGTTAGTATAAGCAACTGAATGCTATGAGAATGTCTTAAGCCGGGAACTCACTGCGTTAAGGCTGACAAATCCAACTCTACTCCCTGATAGCGTTTAACGATGTGACGCTGTCTGCTGATTGTTGCTGGCAGTCTGAACAAGGCAATTCAACAGAAGGACGCACATCTCGGGACATCAAAGGTTATAACTCTGGCATCGACATTCTAGGCGCACATGCATCCCTACACGCTGAACATCACAAAAACCATAGCAACCAAACCATAAACCGTCAGTGTATGTGACGATTTACCCACGCGCGTGTCAGTTGCCATGATAATCGCGCGTCGTGCGGTGATTACAAAGGCCTAATGATATTTTGCACTAAAATTAGACTGAAATTATATTCTTCATTTCAACATTAATTTTACCGATATTGTGGTGTATTGTCGTTCATGACTCACTCTGCAGAAAAAATTAATAAATGTTCTGTATCTACTCAAATGTTCGTTTTATGCACCTTAGTCAGACAGTTTAATGTTACACAAGAACATGAAATTTTATAAAATTCGTAAATTTTCAATTGTTATAACTTTTCATTTTCTTGGTCAATTTTCACAATTTATCAAATTGCAGTTTATAGAACCATGTAACAAGCTCGCAGTCAAAAGAAATCAGATAACAGACATTGCGAAGTACCCAAAATTAATAAAATAGTAACTAACACCATAAAACGTATGGCACGCATAGACTAATAATTGACGTCTGTACTCGCAACTAGTATCAGATTGTCGATGTCAAAGTAAAGATCAAAGGACTGTATGCACACGCTATAGAGAGTCTGGGTAAAGTTTTTCTCAAATAAACTGTTCATAATCTACTGTGAGAGTCCTGTGCACTGAGGCCATCTCAACATGGTTTGGCTTACTATAGCCAAAATATATGTTCTTCTGAACATTAGATATTAATATAGTATTTTGTTTATTTATAGTAACTTTTTGTAAATATTTTATTGAATAAGTAGTAGCAGGTTTCACAACCAGTTCAGAGTTAAGATGACAATGTGATAGCAATAATAATGATTCTGATGATGTAATGCTAATGAAATAAAGTATTCATGGCTGGTAAAGGCAGGTAATGATAGAAATGCTGATAATAATGACTGGTTCTGCTGTACTGGTAATGCTGTTGTTATTTGGTTTATTTGTGTTTCTGTTGTTTTTATTATTATTTTTTATTTTAAGGAATTTTAGCAATATATGTGTGTCACAATGAATAGACCTACATCTGTAGATCGAGGCCAGTACTATTTGCTGATACAATACACAGGCATTTAATGTGTCTGTCAGTGTTTATCTTTCAATAATGGACATCAATCCAATCTGAATTATAAGCTCATCTATATTTGTCGCAGATAATAATGCTGTAAACTCAGTGCTTCAGCGAAATCTGAAATATACTGCAGTCTCAGTGTGTTTCATAAACCCTTGTCAATCCACAATTTTCATTTAGAATCATCAAATAAATATGTATTTAATGCTCTTGATATCAAACGCTGTTAGGCACAATGTAATAGAGTTATTTTTTTAGAACTTTCATTTATTTGTTAAAACAGAATCATGTGGGACTTCCCCTACTTACAGTAATTCTAATCAAGTAATAGATTCCAAGTGGAGTATTTGATTATAATGTATTATTATTAATACTAACTACGAAGTTTGTTTAATTATAAAAATATATGTTGACATAGATCTACTAACATATGTAGTGCCTGTTCACATTTTAAATTGTCTTCATTCCACCTGTTCATTACTTAAATTTTGTACTTATCTTATTTAATTTTCTCATGAATATGCATGAAATGTGATTATGAATATGCATGATTTACTTATGTGAAGTGTACTTTTCGATTGCATATTTAGTGTTGTTATTAATGTAATAATATCATTACAGCTTATTTGTATTCTTAAAATCTAATGGAATGTGTGATAAGACTGGGAAAATGTAATGTCATCTCTGTCCTTTCTATTCTATAAGTTTTTTTTCTCATTTAAATTTTTCTTTCTCATGTATTACACACACAAATTCAATGTTGTTTTTACAAAATTAAAACCTTTACTTCAATTGATTGAAATCTGTACTTTATAATGAGTTGAAAACATATTTTTTAAAAGCTATGATTAAAAAAAAAAAGAAAAAGTTAATGGAGTATAGCTATTTTACAAACAAGATTCCAGCTGAGAACCTTATATATAATGTCCAGTTTTTAACGAAATAAAAATTTACATTACAGAAGTGTTGTCATTGAAACATCTGATACTAAACAGTCATTGTAAAAAAAATATAATAAACTATAAAATATAGTATAAAAAGTGCATGCTTTTATATTCCTTCCATTTACATATAAATAATGAATTAGTTTCCAATCAGATTGACTAGCATAAATTAGGAATGTTTAAATTTAGGTTTTAATGTTTTGTCAAATGTTTTTGAAATGCTTTATTATAATCTAAATGGTTTTCTGCAGATGGCATCAACAAGGCCGTATGTGAGGAAAAAAGCTGTCCTCCTTATGTACAAAATATTTTTGAAGGTAAGTAACAATATTTGATGAGCAAAATAACAGAATAACAAGGTTACATCCATAATATGTACATTTTAAAAATTTAATATTCTGTAAGATGTTGGATTTTATTTTATATCGCTTTTATTTTATATATATCTTGTTGAATTTTAATATTTGTTTTTTTTTGTTTCTAGTATTAAGTTTTGTCAATACTATCAAACTTATGTGACAAATAAATGTGATATGCCCATATTTGGGTGTAATGTGACATCCTCATGCCCATATTTGGGTGTAATATGACATCATGCCCGTATTTGGGTGTAATATGACATCATCATGCCCATATTTGGGTGTAATATGACATCCTCATGCCCATATTTGGGTGTAATATGACATCATGCCCATATTTGGGTGTAGTATGACATCATCATGCCCATATTTGGGTGTAATATGACATCCTCATGCCCATATTTGGGTGTAATATGACATCGTCATGCCCATATTTGGGTACGCCATACAACATTTAATATTATAGGTAGAGCTTATGAAATCCAGTTTAAATACTATTGTTATCTTTAGTTCCCGGAGGCATTAAGGCCGGCTTTTCCACGTCTGAAGGAAAAGCTTGAGGATCCGGATCCAGGTGTCCAGTCAGCAGCTGTGAACGTCATTTGCGAACTTGCCCGCAAAAACCCCAAAAATTACCTCTCACTCGCGCCACTTTTCTTCAAGCTTATGACAAGTTCAACAAACAACTGGATGCTCATTAAGATTATCAAATTGGTAATTATTATTATTACTATTTATTTTTTTATAATTATCTATGTTCTCTTTTAAATATTCTATTAATTATATTATATGTCTGTTATAATGAATATTAATTTGTTAAATTTATAATGCATATTAATTTTCTTGATAATGAATATTACATATATATCCATTTAATTTAGATTGTAAAAATAATTAATATAATAATTATTTTCATTGTTAAAATAATCTTTACTATTGCAACTGCATCTTGTTTTTTAATTCTTTTGTTTTTAGAACCTTAGCATTTAATTTTTTTCTTTAATAATAATATGAATCTAGTGAGAATCTGTTACTGTATATTAACATACAGTACACACTTTGCATCCATGATAATTCTCTTATGTTGGCAACAATTAGATATTTAATGCTATGAAATCAATTATTGGATAATGCATTCCTTTTAGTAAGAAACTAAATTAATGAGGTTATTCAATGTTTAATCAGCAAATTGATGAAATGATATAATTATCCTACTGTAAGTAAATAGCCAAGCAGAATTCATCCATAATGTCATCTTCAAGTGTTGCAAACAATTTTCCAACCATTCCAATAAAATGAGATAATGCTGATTAATTTTCCACATTTTACAACCAAGCACACACATAATGTAGTGTTTTTATATTCAGTTATTGCACAATATTTTTAGTTCATATATGAGTTGATTATCAATACTGATACATTTAAGGGATCATCTTCAGCTTAATATTTAGGGACAATCTCGACTCCTGATATTTCTGTATGTAGCTCTAGTATTTTGATTTGATGTGTTCCCCGAGGAGATATTTGTCTGCTGAAATATAATTAATCAAGCCAAATACGGTGTAGTATATAGTAAAAATAAAAACAAATATATTTATATTCTAATACCAGTGAAAGCATAAGAAAATATGAAATGAAATACAGTTGAACTTCGCCAAACTCAAATAATTTCAAACTTATTCTACATGCCAAATTCTGTTTTATATTAATTAACAATCTGAAACTCAAATTTTATCTAAGTCGAACAATTTTACAATGGCATTTTGGATACGACTTATGCATGTTCAGCTGTATTTATTTATGGGAATTTATTTCTTAATATTCATTATTGGTAAATGAGATGTTCCTCTATCATGCTTTTTGTTCTTCAGCTTAATTAATGTGTTGTTTTGCAGTTTGGTGCATTGACTCCACTAGAGCCCAGATTGGGTAAGAAGTTGATCGAGCCATTAACAAATCTCATCCACAGGTAGGCCATACATAAATGTTTTTTTCATTTTATTTTTATTTAGTAATTATTACACTGCCAAGTATCAAAAAAGCAATAAATAAAATAAAATTAAGGTTAATGATTAAACATTTTGATATTATAAAATCTAATAAATAGCTCATGAAAATGTAGCAAATTTAATTTTAATCATAAAATCATAGTAAAAAAATTCACATTCGTGTAGTTTAACTATTTCTGCCCGTAATTCATCTATTTATCATTTGTACCATTTTAAGCATGTTGAGTTTTGCCTTTCACATCTGGCATATGTTGTGAGAACACATTATTATTATTAGAGTGTGTCTGTGTTGTTGAACAAATTATTATTATTACTCTGGTACATGAGAGTGCTTGTATGTGATGTAAGACATGCTATTTTTAGGTTTAAGTATTGCTGTACATACTTTGCTTCTTAAAAGAGTGTATGTATTGTATGTTATTGTTCTGTTGGTATTATTTGTTCATTTAAAGCATTTAATTTTACAATAATGATATACAAACTTTTTTAATGTGCCAGTTTAAATGGAAAAAAAACAATTATCAAAGGTGTATAAAGTATGCCAAGAGCAGTAATGTTGTTGACTTTAGATTTAAATGTTTTGAATTTCAGCTTTAATGATTCTAGAGTGTTTGCCATTCCAGAGAGATGAAGCAGAGAAAGAAAATACATTGCCGATTGAATATACAGTGTCGATTGATTGATTGATTGATTGATTGATTGATTGATTGATTGATTGATTGATTGATTGATTGATGTCATCATCATACTGGTCATCATAAGGCCAAAAAAAAAAATGTTTTGTTGCCCTTAAATGGAAAAAATCGAGATCCTGGGTCGGTCGGTTGGATTTTTTTTTAATTTATTTTTTTATTATAACTGAAATAGGATAGGCCTGAAACTGCAGTCCTTATTTTGAAGACCCTGACCTAAGGGCTTGTAGGCACCACAGTAGAACCATGGCAAGCTTGCCAAACAAAAAATATTCCAAGTAATGACGGAATAAATACTAACCAAGTGTATATTGAAATAAATTTAACAATAATAAATTGGTTTAAAGAAAAAAAAAGAGAAAAATATTTTGTTTATGGTTGGCCTAAAACCGTGACGGAGCCGAAAAAGTCTAGCTATGTACCGGTTTTTTAAAGTGATGCTAGACCTAAGCCTGTTTTTATTTATTGTCCAATATACTGTAAGGTAATGAATATGATTCTTGATTCAAGCAACGACTAGTTGTACAGTAGTAAAGAAAAGGCTAGGCCTAGATCTGGTCGTGGATTGACAGCTCAGTGCGAGAGATCCGATGCTGTGTGCATATATCGTCATGCTCGGTTCTCAAAATTATGCCTTCTATTTTACTGAATTTACGCATCCATTTATGGCCCGATTTTGATAAAAATACATGTCTGTTTTAGATTTTATGTTCTAAATGTTAATTTTGGAAGTGATATTTCTCGAATTTGTACTTGAACAAAAAAGTGCTAAACCGTTATTTTGGAAAATTTCGGTCGGTCGCGGAGGGCAACACAACAGATTGTTTTTTTCGGCCTAATGTGGAACTTCACTCTCAATAATTCAAACCTGAAAACTTTGTTAAACTGCTTTTATTTTTCTTGTTCTTTATGTAGTACATCAGCCATGTCTCTACTGTACGAATGCATCAACACTGTGATAGCAGGTAAGTGTTAACTTGCCCCCATTAAGTCATTCTTAAGTACCCACCATTTCAATAGAAACAGCAATATCTTTGATCACACTCATGAATTGTAATTCCTGCCCTTTGACCAACTTTCTTTTTAGTACGCTTTTTCTCTTGTGAAATATGTTAAGAATTTTAAGATTATTAAAAATATTTCAACTGCTTATATGAAAGAGGTCATGTTAAAAAGTATAGAAATTATAAATGAGTGTTTTTAAGATTTTGTTCCTCTGTTGAATGCTTAGGGGTTGTTCGCAATTATTAACATTTTCACAAGTGTACAAACAGTACTCTTTTTTGGTACACCCTCCCTGCCCTCTGAATGGGTACAAAAAAGTGTTAATTTTGCAAAACTATTCTCCATTTTTTTGTGAAGTCAACTAAAGCAATGTTCTTGGATGATTAAAAATGAATATTGTATCCATGGTTACATTATAATTTTACTATTATTATACATATTGCATGTTATTTTGAATCAACATTTTTATGCATATGTAAGAGTGTACAAATGTGTCTACTCCCTCCCCCCTAGCATACTGTTTGTACTCTTGTGAAAATGTTAATAATGTTAAATGACATCTTATTTTACCCTACCTAGTTTTGTTTATCTTAAATATGATTTTCTTCATTTGAAATGTGCCCATAATGATAAAATGTTGGGTTTTTGTGATTAGGTTGGTAGCGTATCAGCAGGTTGTTGTTTAAGGTGATTGCGTAGTTGTTGCTGTTTTCTTTCTGTAGCTACAGTATTGTTGCTTTTTAATTTTTTTTTATTATGCGGTAGGTTTATTATTTGCCAATTGCTCTTATGTTGCAGCTGTATTTAAATTTGAAGCTCTACTGTATCAGTTTTGTTGTCATTATCAGTGTTGTTTGTTGGTATTCTTGTGATATAATGATGGATAACACTGAATTCAATCTAAATTTTCATATTGAGTTATCTAATTATATGGCTCTTAGCCATTACCTCTGAATAGCATCAATTAATAATAATAATAAAAATAATAATAATATGATATATTATAATAATAATAATAATAATATAAAATAATAATAATATATAATAATAATAATAATAATTTTCATATTGTAGAGGTATAGTATTCTTGTATTGAGTTATCTCCTTACATTGCTCTTAGCCATTATCTCTGAATAGAACCAATTAATATTATTAATAATATGATAATATAATAATAATAATTTAGATTTATATATCACCTTACATTAATAATTGTGAAACTAAAGCATGGCTCTAGATTACATCCCATAGGAATTGATGGGCTAGACATATTGCATAATGTTTAGACAGTAGTAATAGAAAGTTGCGGAAAATGTAGTAGATGTATTGACAATAATGCTAATGTGAGGTGGAAGTTGAATAGTTCAAGGTAAATACTATAATAATGTAATTTATAAAAGCAAAAGATGTGAACTTGACATTAATGGTAAGGAGATAATTTGGAGCTTTTAATCAGGAGAAATTATCAATAATTTATAAATTCACATTCATTTTTGATTTGATTTATTTAATATCTCAGCTGTACATACAAACAAAAATATATAAAACAGAAAAAAGAAAACACATCAACAAACAAAATAGAGAAACAGTAAAACGTCAATTTTACCAACGTCGATTTTAAGAATGGTGTTTGCTCCTGACGATGCCATCATCGACCAATTATTGCCGTTAAAAAAGTCCAATTGCGCACGTTTTACAAAGTGATAATGTATATTTTTCTTAATAAAATCAAGTTTGTATTTATTTATTAGTAGTTCAATCTTATAATAATCACTATGATAATGTAATAAACCAAACTAGGACAACGAACTACCAACGCACTTGTCGTCGGATTGAGCGCACATGTTTATGATGACGAACGAGAGTTTTGAGGTCAGCAAATTATTGACATCGTGAATGCTAGATATGATAGCGAAATGCATGTAAACAACACTATGCGGCAATTTAACAACTAGAAAGAACACGAGAGAAGGTCCATAAAACATACAGATGTTGAATAAGAGTTAAAATAATATTTTGTTAAGTGCAAGAATGCCAGCGATTAAAATAATTTTTTGTTTTTATCGAAGATAAATTCAGGTAGGCTCTAGCGTAATAGACCACACAGCTGCAATGTCGGTTCGTGCTAGGCGTGGCCGTCATCGGCCTATCAGTGCTCAATGGCAGGGGATAGCTAGGCCTAGCTATTGGAAACCGACACCCGATCTAGTTCACAAATTTTTCAATTTATGAATACCCCTTGGTACCAAGGGGTACATAAAATGGACGTTTTACTGTATTTTGATAACCCTCTAAGTCCCTAGTGAGAGACTTATTTCCAGAGGAGTCCAAATTTATTTTTATATATAGCAAAAGATTATTTTAAATGATAGTTAACATACTAGTTAGTAGACTGTCCAATGTAATACAATACTAAGCCATATAAGGTAGACTATTATGATGTAAATAATAGTTTACAAAAGTTTGTGATGTATTTTTGTTTGTAATTTGAATATTTATTTTATGCCTAAATATTCATATTTTATGAAATGTGTTGTATTTTAAGCTCGGGCAACACTATCAAATTGTCTTCGACAAAAAAATGTTGTATGCCTATTATATATAGTCTATATATGGTCATGATGTGATGTCATCACTGACCATATTCAGGCATGTCACATGTTTTTGTCATTTAAAGCCCTGCACACTTTGCGTGGGCTGATGAATCTATCTCTGCTCTGTGCGATCATTTGATGCTGCTACTGATCATCAATGGTGGAGTTGATTGTCATTAAAAATGATGTGTTGTACATGTCTTGTCGCATTTCATTCTCTATAGCTCAATGTGTGCCAGCTTTCCTGTGTACCATAAACATGTGTTTATTTTGTTATACAGTTTTGCCCTATATTGTGCATGTTATTATGGTAATTTTGTAATGTTAAATGATGTTAAAGTAATCATGGACTAGTGGTAACAGGTTGCAACATTTTGTGGGGAAAATAGTTTATAAAATTATTTTATTTTAATATTAAAAATGTTAATTTCTTAATAAAGCCTTTGTTTATTTTGATTTTTAAATGTAAATATTTGTTTTATTTGAATACAATAGCAGATTGTATGTGTGGTATTTTTTAAATGCGTTTATTGGTAATGTTTTCCCCTCCTCCCCACCCCCACCCCCAATTTCCTTTGCATCAAATTTACCAAATTCCCATTTCCGCTTGGATGTTGCAATCTGAACCACGCAATCAGGGATCCTCACTCATAAGAAGCAATCAAAAATAAAAATTTTCAAAATTTTATCAAATTAACTATTAATTATCATGTAATATGTTAGACACCAATATTTTGCTACATTTTGTCTGCCTGCTAGTACTGATGCTTCTTGAAAAAATGGTGTGGATGATTCCTGTATTCCGGATCCCGGCATAGTATCCCTGGTTGCGGAAAATTTACCTAAATCCAGCTTCTTTTCTTCTCTTTTAACTTACAGTCTTAATTTCGTTATCTTCAGGGATACCTGACCACTCCGCCTCAATTCAGGTACATAACATCATTATGTGCAAGTCCCGCGAGGGCGTTGTTGTTTGTTTTTGAAAGCCGTGCCTGATAGCTAAGTATATCACCACACACTTGTCACCAACATTCATTCACCAACACTAACTACTGTAGCATTTCTTAAGGGGACGGATTAGCAGGCATGATACTTAGTTTGCATGTAAAACGATGGGTTTCATGATGCTAGTAAATTAAGCACAGACTTAGATTCTGCAGCATGCTGGATTGATTCCAGGTGGGTGAATACTTGGACACTAGAGGTCAGTGCTATATCAAGTACTTTAATATTCTCATGTTTGCTAAGCTTATGTGTGTTGTATCATTTTAATACAATATTGCATCTGAAAACTCCCAACATTGGTAGTGAAACAAAATCATTTATCCTCCTCTTCCTGGTTTTAGTGTCATACCTCTTTTCTGAGAAAACTTTCCAACTCTTGAAGTGATTTTAAATTTTTATAGAGTAACTCTTGTTCTCTCTGATTATATTCTTATGGTGGAATGAAAATACTTATGAATCTTTGAATATATATATCTGGTCACACTTTCACAGCCTTCCAGACTTCGGAATGTGTACTTTGGCAAGTGATAGTGTTGGGTGGATTATATCTTCAGAGATTTTTTTTATATATATTGTTTTCTTGCTTTTTTAACAACCTCACTTGCCACAAATCCTATTACATTAACAGGCTGATATAATGTAAAACATTAATTTATCACATATTTTTTATATATATAATACATTAAATTTTATGCAACTATCATTCTTTTTATATGTATTTAATACCATGTAAATAATTACTCATCTCATGAAATTCACACTTAAAAAAAAAAAAATCTGTCCGTTTTCAAGACTTTTCATTCTATATCCTGGTTCATGTCAGTCTAGTTAATCCTAATCTCCATAACCTATCAGCTGATCTTGTATAATCCATATTGATTAATGTCAATTCAGTTAATCTTATATGTATTCTAATCCATATTCATATGTGTACAAATTGAAGAAAATCCAAATCCTTTAAATTTTTTTCATTTTTGTGGGTTTCATTGAATCACTTGATGGGATTCTTATGGTTGGTGAATGGTTTTTCATGTGTATAGCATGATTCTTTAGTAGCATTGCTCTCATACACAAGGACAAAAAGTGTGTAAAATACTATATATATACAGAATCATATATTATATTTTTTTTACAACATTATCATCTTGCCCGATTACCCGATAATTAAACCACAATAGTTGTAAAAGCTTTGATGATTTGTACAGTGGCGTATCTAGGTGTGTGCGACCCCCCCCCCAAAAAAGAAATAAATAAAAGGGTGCTCCCTAATTTAAAATGTCAGAAAGCAAAAAAAAAATCTTGCTGAAGTATCTGATATTACCTTAATTTGCAACCTAATTCCCCGACTTAATCATGGAGCCCCTACTCCACCTTCGCCACTTCGCATCAGCTCACCATTTCGAGTCTCCTAGATATGCCACTGATCTTGAAGAATATTGACTGATATTTACTTTTCATTCCACTTCCTTTCTGTAGTAATCTTGAATTGAGTATTATTATTATTATTATTAGTATTAATGGTTTAATGTAGTGCCTTGATTAGTGGAAAATATAATTAATTAAGCTATGCATTTCATCTCTTTATCTTGGAATGTCAAGCTAAAAATATGACACCACTCAACATAACAAGAGAGATTGACCTCTCATCCAATCAGTACCTTTGGAATCTTGCACATACTAATAAGACACTGTAAACAAAGACTTTAATTGGTTGGATTTCATTAGTAGGAATCATCCAATTAAATTTACAGTTTGCTTTGTATTGTGTCTAATTGGTCTCTATAGCAGTAAAATACAATATAAAAATAAGTGAAGAATGGGTGTGATGCAAAAAATGTACCAAGCCAAATTAATAGATAAATGCAATTTATTGATTTATTTATTGTTACATAATACCTGTTTAACCCCCCCCCCCCAAAAAAAAAGAAATAAATAAAAGGGTGCTCCCTAATTTAAAATGTCAGAAAGCAAAAAAAAAAAATCTTGCTGAAGTATCTGATATTACCTTAATTTGCAACCTAATTCCCCGACTTAATCATGGAGCCCCTACTCCACCTTCGCCACTTCGCATCAGCTCACCATTTTGAGTCTCCTAGATATGCCACTGATCTTGAAGAATATTGACTGATATTTACTTTTCATTCCACTTCCTTTCTGTAGTAATCTTGAATTGAGTATTATTATTATTATTATTAGTAGTATTAATGGTTTAATGTAGTGCCTTGATTAGTGGAAAATATAATTAATTAAGCTATGCATTTCATCTCTTTATCTTGGAATGTCAAGCTAAAAATATGACACCACTCAACATAACAAGAGAGATTGACCTCACATCCAATCAGTACCTTTGGAATCTTGCACATACTAATAAGACACTGTAAATAAAGACTTTAATTGGTTGGATTTCATTAGTAGGAATCATCCAATTAAATTTACAGTTTGCTTTGTATTGTGTCTAATTGGTCTCTATAGCAGTAAAATACAATATAAAAATAAGTGAAGAATGGGTGTGATGCAAAAAATGTACCAAGCCAAATTAATAGATAAATGCAATTTATTGATTTATTTATTGTTACATAATACCTGTTTAACTATATTTTTGGAGGCTGTATTAACTGGTTTGGACAGTGCCATTTATCATGTTATACCATCCTAAGTGATATAACAGTATCTAATATTTTCTTCTGTTCTTTCTTTTGTGTACTTTTTTCCTAACATTTGTCAAAAAATCTCAATGTTTGCGGCCAGTATCCTTTACGGCATTAGCAAACCATTAAGGCAAAAGTTTAATTTCCAATCAATTTGGTATAGTTTACTGGAAATTATGGTGATCTTTACAGCAATAAACAAAGGACAGCCACGATAGCAATCTCCATGTAAAACACCGCTGTGTCAGTGGATTGTTTATATCCAACACCCAAGTTAGGTCATGTGACACCCATCGCTAAATCACTCTATTGTGATGTCATACACCAATTTGTGATGTCATACTAGGCTATATCACCATGGCAATTGGGAAATAAAGAAATGTTTATAAGATAATGATAATCTTTTAGCCTAAAGCAAGTGCTCATTATGAATAAGTGATAATTTGTAATGTAGACTAGCTTACCCAATACTTTATTAGTGCATATGATATTTACAAACTTATATTTTTATAACACTAGTAATTATAATAATAGTAGTTGTGTAACCATGTTAATCTAAATATTACTTTTGTGGTATAGGTAGCAGTCTGATTTCATGTTCTTTTTTATTTAGCATTAGATTTTGCTGGTAGTCAATGCCAGCTTCATAAAGATGTCATTAACTGCCAGCAAAAGCTAGTGCTTAGTAACTAACACAATATTAGTGTCAGAGTGTTGCTTCTTTATTATCTGAAACAATGTTTTTTAAGCAACTAACAATAGCTCCTACACTACTACATAAAATAAATAGTCAGCATTATGAGGTATTAGTATTATTATTTAACATGCTATAAAATTATAAAAATTATAAAAAAATTATATTATTATTTATTTATTTATTTTTTGACTGCTATTAAATTAATATTTTTTTTATTTTTTTTTAAATTTTATTTTTATCAGTAAGCTATATAAATGCCATTATTATAGCATTTGTTATTATTATTCACTAATGGTAATTATCGTGGGTGGAGACTTATATAGCATATAATACATGGTCTCTATGCACTGAACAGAAAAACAGAAAAAAAAATCTAATGGGTCACCTAAGCAAACCGAGCTAAAATAAACAACCGAAACAGACTAATGCAGAAGAAACCAACACTATCGCATCGTTCACCTGCAATTTGAGACCACCGACAAGCAGTGGTTAGCAGGTACATGACTCACAGGTGCTCGAATAGTGTTGGCATCTGGGCTAGCCTATCCTAACAACAAAAGTGAAAAATTAACAGAAAACAGAGACAAATTAAAAAGAAAGGAAAAAGGTGTGATTTAAGGCTCTGCTTGAAAACAGATAATAATATATGTTATGATTATTCTATAACATTATTAATGTATTATTAATATTTGGTAAGCTATTAATATGTCAATAATATTTATGATCATTATCATTACTATTATTATTATAATTACTTTAATATTATATACATTAAGATTATTGCTAAATAACATAATTTTTAAAGTTAGTTTTCTTTATTTTTTGGTATATTTTTGCATCTTTCCCATTTTTCATTAGAACAGCCATTTTATCTTAATATATTATTATCTGTATTACAATTTAGTAAATCACAAGTTATTCCAAATAGCTTGAATATTAACATTTAGCTTTGTAGAATTTTTTAAACAACCGTGCTCATGCCACTACATTTCATAGAGTTCTTAATGTACATCTTAATATTAAAGATGAAGGCAGCTACATACTCAGTAGTCAATAATGACACTTGTGTGCAGTTGTTTGTAGAAAACATCTTTCCATGATCTATGGTTGACATTTAAAAAAGCAGTTTCTCAGTCCCACTCAATATCAAACTAACATATAAGCCACCACTATGACATACTGAAAAACATTTCCTGGTAGATTATTCATTAAAATAAATTTATTCATTATTTTCTAGAATTCATCACAAATATAATGGGTATCTAGCAATTGGTGAAAGTAGCATGTACTTAAACCCAACACTTACGTGGGAAGTTCCAAGTATTCTCAAATAGATTATGATATTAACTGCTAAAACCAATCACAAATATGACCTAATATTTGATTGCTATGTACACAATACACAATATATTCACGCACATAAATAAAAGTAATAAAATACTTAATATATTGAGGTTAATTAATCCAAATATTTATGATAGCATTTATGTTAATTAAAACACAATGTTACAGAAGTGATTGTAATTATAGTATTAATGTAAATCAATAATGTCAAATTCATTAATGGTTTACTCATTAATGCCAGGTTTTAAGGTAAGTGTTATATTTGCTTTTATCGTAAAAGATTTTTAAACAACAGTATTTGATATCTGTACAGTATTTTACACTTTCCTTTGTTTCTTTTTCAGCTTTGTGTGCAGAAACTTAGAATTCTAATTGAAGATTCTGATCAAAATTGTGAGTGTTATATTAATAATAATATTCATAATTCATTAATGAATATATTTGGTTGGTCATCTAGTAGCATTTTAATAGTTTTATTTCATTTATTTGTCTCAAACAATTTAAAATGTACAAGGAAAGTAACATCAAAGGATGCAATAAAATGTACTCTTAGAAATTCAATTTTAAATTGTCAAATAATTATGTAGCAACCAAGTAAAAATGTAAGCAAAATATTCATCATAAAATTTCATAAAAGATATAAAAATTGATGCCCATTGCACTTAACAGATTTTAGAAACAAGAGAGCATTAGAAAGATGATATCGTTTATAATAGTCTGGAGTGCTTCAAGCACTCTAGTGTCAAGATGAGTGCATTATAAATCTCATGATTTAATAATAATATTAATACAATCATTATATGGATGCATTTATAAGATATGATTTGTGATTTCAGTGAAATACCTGGGACTTTTAGCAATGGGCAAGATATTGAAGACTCACCCCAAGTCAGTACAGTCCCATAAGGATCTCATCTTGGAATGTTTAGATGACAAAGATGATTCTATTAGACTCAGAGCCTTGGATTTACTTTATGGCATGGTAATACAAGGTTTTTATTCTCTTTTCCTAATTTAGTATACATTACAGATAAGATATTTAAATGTTGTAAGACCCAATGTGCATGTTAATGTGCTCCCCAATCACCACCAGAAGGAACACCCACTGTAAATAATTGTTTCGACATATCCACCAAAATACTCCTATCCTAATTTTTTCCTACCCTTTTCACTCACTTAAAATCATTACAGTCAAATAATTATAATGCTTAGCATTTATTAGCACTTTATATAGAAAGTCTCAAGCACTATGCATTATTACCCTGGTCATAGATACAAACACACTTTGATTTGTGACTCTTGAAAATGCCCTTAAGTATGCAACTACCCCGTACTCTATTAGACTCGGAGCCTTGGATTTATTTTATGGCATGGTAATACAAGGTTTTTATTCTCTTTTCCTAATTTAGTAAACATTACAGACAAGATATTTAAATGTTGTAAGACCCATGTGCATGTTAATGTGCTCCCCAATCACCACCAAAAGGACCACCAACTGTAAATAATTGTTTCAACATATTTATCACACTCCAAAGTCACTTTATCATATGTAGCCTCCCTCACACCTTAAAGTTATCTTTGTCTGAAATCATAATGTTTTCTGGTTATTCATTGATCAGGTCTCAAAGAAAAATCTGATGGAGATTGTGAAGAAGCTGATGATTCATGTAGACAAGGCTGAAGGCTCACAATACAGAGACGAGCTCCTGGCAAAGATCATTCAGATTTGTAGTCAAAACAACTACCAGTACATTACCAACTTTGAGTGGTATGTAATTTTTGAACATTATAACAACTAATTATAATGTAAATTATAATATAAGTCTCCCTCCAATTGAAGATCCTTCCAATTAAAGACCACCTCCAAATATAGACCATTTTTCTGTGGTCCATAATTAGCAAATGTCTATTATCTTTATTATTCAAATTAGAGACCTAAGTTGGCCTTTAATTGTTTTTTTTTCACATCAATTCGGCTATTAGTAGGCCTATTAATCACATGTTGCATTGTAAAGTCTTATTATGAGGCGTAGGGATCAAGAGTTTATTTTTAAGTAAAATTTACACCCTGGAATTCATAAGTAATAAAAGCCTATATTAAGTCAATCAAACAATCAATCTATCGATCAATCAGTCAGTCAATCATTTAATTATTTATTCAATACGTTACATTCCAAATCACTGTGTATGGTTCATTATACAATACATAATTTTCTGTTGTGACAAAACTATTATAAATGTATATGTATTTGTTATGTTTGTTGTTATATTTGTCCTAACAGGTATGTTGCCATCCTTGTGGAACTTACCAGGATTGAAGGCACAAAGCATGGACGTCTGATTGCTTCCCAGATGTTAGATGTAGCGATCCGAGTCAAAGCCATCAGGCCATTTGCTGTCTCCCAAATGGTAATAAGATGTTTATTTCTTTATTTCAAAACCCACATTCAAATGCCAATAACAGGATGCCTTAACATTTGTTTACTGATTGTCATCAGTTTTCAACAGCTGTGCACTTTGTATAAAATATCCTTCAACTTGTCCATAGATCAGAATTTCCTTGTATTCTTTATGTTATTTGTTGATGAAATAGTTCACCATTCTCTCTTCTGTTGAATGTTTTCCTTAATGTTTGGAGTAGCTAGGTTGGTCCTATCCATGTGGCTATGTTATCTATCCATTAATCTCTAGGCTTGCTTCTTGTTCTCTTTTCTCTTTAAAAAAAGTGTTTGCTAAGATCATTCTTAAATGTATACAACATACAGAATAAGGAGAAATAAATGTTTCATGATTATCTTTCCAGGCATCTCTGCTGGAGAACTTCCATTTATTGTCCGGTGCATCGATGCAGACTAACAGTCGTTGCGAGGTTCTGTATGCAGCTGCTTGGATTATTGGAGAGTTCCCTGGACATCTTGTTGATCCGTACTCAACCTTACACCACATGCTCAAGCAAAGAGTCAGCAATCTTCCTGGCCATATACAGGTATAAACAAATCACTCGTATATAAATACCCTACTGATGCTAGCATACTGCTGTAGCTGTTATGTGAATGTACATAGCTGATACCAGAATAAATACATTACTGATGCTTAAATGTGTACCTTGTTGATTCCTGTATAAGTACACGTATGATGCTGGTAGTGTATCCTACTTATATGGGTGTAAATATACTACTGATGCTGTTCTTAAGTACTGTACACTACCAATATTGATGTATGTACCCTACTTATGTTAGTATGTGCACCTTACTGATGCAAGTATATTTACTCCCTGGCATAATTACTGATGTGCGTATGTACCTAAATTATGTAAGTACACTGCTGATCCTAGCATACCTTTATGTGCCCTACTAATAACAACTTAATGATGCTAGTTTGTGTATCCTTCCAATGTCACTCGAAGCATGATGCTAAAAATCTAAAATATTTAGATTAGGAAGATGTTATTATGAAAAAAAAATTACCATTAGTTTGGGAGTTGATTTAATGAAATAATAATTTGGTTGATAAAACAAGTCACTTTTAGATACTAGACAAAAATACTTTCCTATAGACAATTTGCTAATGAGCATAATATTTTCTTTGTAGAGTGTCTATGTGCAAAATGTCTTAAAGTTATATAGTGCAATAGTGAAGAAATGCGAAGAAGATGATGATCATGAAAAGGGTGTTGAAGCAACCCAACTGCTATTGGATAAGCTTCCTGTATTTTCAGAAAGTGCTGATTTGGAAGTCCAAGAGAGGGTAAGTATTTCTACAGTACTTAAAAGATATCGTCATTTTTTTTTTTTCAAAGGAACACATGAAAGGTCCGGTAAATCTGAAAATATGATGTTAATGATTTTCCTAAACCATTCTCTTATCCTACTGACTGTTGACCTCATTCTTTGCCTCTTTTATCCTTTTATCCATTTTATCCTCTGTCATTCACGCACCTGCCATTCTATTTGCCCTTTTTAAGATGTTCAAAAGATTGTTATTTTTTGTTTGTCTCTGCCTTCTGTAGGCTTGCACTATACTACAACTTCTGAAATATGTCAAGAAAATTCAAGAGAAAGAGGTATCTGTTGGAGATGAACTAGCAGCTTTGTTTGTTGACGAGCTAAATCCAGTGGCTCCAAAAGCCCAGAAGAAAGTACCAGTACCAGAGGGGTAGGTAGTACTTAACTGTAGCAGAGAGTTAGTTGGTAGTACCTTTAATGGAGTAGTTATTAGTACCAAAGGGGTAGGTACTAGTACCAGTACCAGAGGGAAGGTATTTGTTATTTAAGTTGTACCAAAGGGTTAGGTAATAACACCATGGTTAGGTAGTGGCATACTAGAAGTTTGAAAGAAAGAAGTATTGTTTTTTTTTTATGTATTATCTATAGTACTGTATTGACAATTAAAATCTGAAAGTTGTACCGTACAATTTACTTAAATTTGTTAAATTTGTTAATTTAGGTTGGACCTTGATAAATGGATTAATGAGCCACCATCTGAGAGTTCTGATGATGAAGTCACCATCGACACCATGTTTATTCATGATGCCAATAGGTAAGTCATAATCATGTTTATTCATGATACTAATAAGTAAGTCACCATCAATCTCATGTTTATTCATGATGCCAATAGGTAAGTCACCATCAATCTCATGTTTATTCATAAATTCATGATGCCAATAGATAGGTCACCATCAATCTCACGTTTTTGTTCATGATGCTAATAGGTAGGTCACCATTTACATCATGTTTATTCATGATGCCAAAAGGTAAGTCATGAAACCTTGGTATTGTCTAGAGTTTTTGGAGTAGACACTTTATAAAATCAGAATTGTTGGTCCTGTGTGCATTTATGGCCCATGTGCACATTAAACGGTACACTCTTCAGCAAAGAGTATGGAATTGTCTCCCGGTGTACTGCCCAATCACCACCAGAAGGACCCCACTAGAAATAAGTCTTCTTCTAAACTTTCGTGGGCTCTCCTTGGTGTTTACAACGACTATGTCCAATCCAATGTCAAATATTATTTATATTGCTTTGTGTTTTGAAAGTAGGCATGTACAGATAATTCAAACTGATAATACATCCATGTTTATGTTTCCAGAGTCAATCACCAGACACAGTATTACGAGGAACTCTCAGAAGAAGAACTTGAGAAACGCCGCACCGCGCGTCGGCAGGAGCAGGCTAGTAATCCACACTACCTGAAATTTGAATCACCGAGGAAGAGGAAAAAAAGACTGAAGGACCTTGCCACCGAAAATGTTGACGGTATTCCCGTTGCCAAGATCGACCTGAGTGTCCCGTTGCACATACCTGGTGATAATAAAGGTATGTCAATAATATATGTCGTCAGATAAATTAGGCCAATAATTATTTTATTATTTTTTATATGCTTGCATTTTCGTAATGTAACTTCATTTAGAAACTAAAATCAAGTAAAAATTAAATTTTCTTTTTTTTGTTTAATTCCAAATAATTTATAAAATTGGAGGTTTTGGCTGGTCCCCAGGGAACATGCAGCAGCCACAGTGCAGTGGCATTACCGACATATAACAGATCCTTTGCCCCTTATCCCACCTAACTCTCATACGAGGGTTATTTGAGGAGGAGCCGACAATAGCAGGGTTTGAACCTTCGTCAGCAGCGCAAGAAGCAGGAACATTATATCTCTTCCAAATGCTCAACACTCGGATTCTGCTGTCATGTGTTCGATATAACCCATTCTTTCCCATCTAACTCTCATGCAAGGGTTATTCGAGCAGCATTGATGTCCTGATTTTAACCGGGCTGTACAGCACAAGAAACAGGAACATTACCCCTTGTCTAAATTATCAGCTACTAACTATTTTTAAATTCAATCACAAAAATTAATAGTGAAAATATTATGTACCTTGTATTTCCACTTCACTGTTATCAGAAAGTGGCCTAGATGGCATCGATGAAGCAGCATCCAGCCAAAGCCTGCTCATTCCTGGAGGTATACTTGGTTGAGGGCTCCAAATTGCTGTATTTTATCCAACCTTAATTTATTCATGTTTCTTGTTGGTCAAAAGGTCTTTGTGGTGGGAATACAATTCTAAAATATGGTGGATTTTTCTCGCATTTTTAAGATTTTTTTGTCAATGCATTTTCTTCAGTAACAATGTTTACTATTCATATTGTTATTTTTTTAGGCCAAAAAAGTGTGTTTGTATAGCCCAAGATCAATTGAGCAAAAAATTTAAAAATACATATTATCATCTTTATGAAAAATATATTTTGTTTGTACCTAGAGGGTGCCCAAAATATTGGTATTATGTTTAATGCTGTAATTAATAATTCAAAAAGCCTAGCCTGGGCCTATAAAAAGAATATCTGGTTGACACTGATGTTCAAATGTCACTATTATATACTTTGGCAACACTTATATTTTTTTTTGTCTAATGAACCTTTTTTTTAATGTGTTTTTTAAAAACTCCAAATTTCTCATACTTTGAATAGATGAAACTTTGCCTCATTTTAACTATTATTTATGTCCATGGTGATATTTGCTAATGGTTCACAGAACATTTTCATTACCTTTTTTGTATTCTGAAATATTTAATTCAGTAAATGTCAAAGCATGAGAAATGCAGTAGTTAGTAGTAGTTAGTTAATACTTCACTTTTGACCTCCTCTTCATTTCCTTTCTGTTTCCTTTCATCAATGGTAACCATGTCATTGTCTACTTCTTTGCTTTTTATTTGGTTAGCTGAGAATGATCTTTTTTTGGGTTATTTTTCTGATGTTTTACACAAAGCTGCATGTGTGTGTGGTTTTTAAAATCTTTTTTTTTTTTTTTTTGATT